ATTGGTGGGCCCAAAAATTAGTGTAAAACGTAGTACAATAATACGTTTCAGTGTAAAACATAGTATTATAATACATTTTACACTAAAAAACAAATATTCTCTGCCGTCCTGCGGAACTGTTATTATGGTGGGCCCAAATTTTATAGGAAAACGCAGTATAATACTGCATTTTCCTTAAACGCAGTATAATACTGCGTTTTCCTTAAATGCAGTATTATAATGCGTTTTCCTATTAAAAACTAATTTTTTTAATAAAACGCAGTATAATACTGCGTTTAACTTTAATGGCTAACTTTTCGTTAAAGTAAATTTAGTTAGAAATATAACTTTTTTTTTAAAATTGTATAAACGTATTTTGTGCCAAAAAAGGCATCATTTCAATTTCGGACACGCTAACACCTCGCGATATGTTGTGCGACGCCTGCTCTAACGTGAGTAGTGAACCTCGTGTCGCCTGGTGCTTTACTGTTTCGTTTCTCGTTAATTTGATTTGCTGCCTCATTTCAATTCTTTCACGTTTTTTTGTCTTCCTTGTTTTTTTTTTAATTTAAAATCCACTAGGATGTGTGCCTAGGTCTAATTTTTATATAATAAACAAATTACAACAAAGGAGGGGGACATAAACCTGACCTCCAATGGAATGGTATAAGGGCATCTGGTCATGTAAACATAAAGACCGGAAAGAGCCTGAGAGTTATGATGCGTTAGACCTATGATGAGGATCCAATTGACTATCAAACCATGATAGTCAACTAGATATGCAAAACCAGGATGAAGTAAACCTAGGTCAACTATACATGATTGCACAAGTAAACCTATTTCTACCCAAAAATTGAGTTGGAAGATTATCTTCCATATACAAACAATTCTACATCTAAGACAAGTGTTGAAGTTCCCTGCAGAAGGTGGCAAAATACATGTAATGTTGGATGGATCTATCTTCAGCCTTGCTTTGACATTGAGATCAAAGAAAGCTAAGGTGAAGATAGTTAGCTAAAAGAGGGCATGGTTTGAGCATATAGTATGCTGCTTCTTGCTGCTGACAGTAGAGAGTGAACATTGGCTGCAATATTTGGTAAGTAAGTAAGGCATGGTGTTTAGGTCTGGGCCTCAGGTGATTGTGATGCAAGTTTGATGAAACTGTTGTTAAAGTTGTTGTTGTTGGCTTGTAGAGTGGGTGAGATTTGTGGCAATCTGTGCCTTTCCAGCAAAATGAGCACCAAAGGTGCTAATTCTATTGACTGTAAGGGCATAAATTGCCCAAGTCTGCACCCTGTACCTGCAAAGCATAGCAAACAAGTGAGATAAGGGGAGCTCAATTTCCAGGTTCTTGTGTGTACTGGATATGAGTCTGGGGGTAGGGGAATTGTGACCTCTGATTGATGAAGAAGAACTGATTGCTGGTTCTTGTGTTGACTACAATCAGTGGATTTGTTACTTCTGATGGAGGAGCAATGTGCATGGAGTTGTTGGGCATAGTGACATTCTTGAGGGTAAGGCTGCTCAGCTAATTGCCCAGCTGTTTGGGTATATATGAATGGAATTCATCAGTCACAGCTTGCATAACTGGAGTCTGCAGCTGCAGTTGTTGATTTCCTGTTGATTGTGGTGGGGAATTGGTTAAGCATCTGAAGATGGATGTTGTTGCTTTGATGTTCCTTAACTGTCAATTGATATATCTCCAAGAGACTGAGCACCATTGGTGCTAATACCACTCTTAGGAGACCTATCAATCGACTGACTAAACCTACAAAAGAACAAACAGAGTTAGGAAACATTGTGACATTTCTGCCCAGATTTCTTTGTCTGTTGTGATCAGGGTGTTTTTTGTTGTTTGCATTCAGGTTATTGTGTATACTGAGGTAATGTGGGTGATAATGGATGGATATGAGCTGACATCTGTGTGTGCATGGTTGATTATGTGGGTGCTTCTGTGTGATTTTGTGTTCCGGTAGGGAATTGGGAGTGAAAAGGTGATAGATCTGGGGATATATGTAGTTGGCTACGTATGTTTGGATTGTTTGGAGGTTTAGAGTATGGGATGTGATCAGTTGGGAGTTCCTGTGGTTGGTGGGACTTGCATCAATTCGCAGGTTTACTACAAAACTGAGCAATGGCCCATGAGTACCTGCAAAACAGAAGCCAACGTTAGAAAAATCAGCTTCAGTGATCTCCTCCAGTTGGATTGGATCCTTGTGACTGTTTGGTTGCCTTTTGGTTGAGTGAATGGCTAAAATCATTTGGACATTTAGATCAGCTCCCCTAGCTTTGCTTTTGTCATCCATAACCATGTGAAGAAGTAGATGCCATGTTTGAAGGAACTTTGATTTTCTTGGTAGTTTTGTGTTTGAAGGCTGTGGTACTCCATTGGTTTTGGACTATTTGACCTCTGATATGGGATGGTAGTGAGGCAGCATTGGTGAAATGATCTGGTAAAGTGAGTTCATGATTGAGTTTTGAAAGGGAATCAACCGGGCAATTTGCTTCTCTATAAACATGAGTAACCTTGAAATCCTCAAAGAGAGAGCATAGGAGCCTGAGTTGAGAAATCTTCTCACTTAAAGCCCATGGAGGGTCATTTTCCTCTGTCAACCAATTGACTAGGAGTGTAGAATCTGCTTCCAAATGAATTCTGGGAAATCCATTACCCAAACACTACTGAACTCCTATTCTGGCTACTTCAGTTTCAGCATAATTGTTGGTACCCTCCCCCAATTGAATGGCCATTGCATGAATAAAATGACCATTTTGGTTCCTGATGATGACCCCCCCTCCAATCTTACCAAGATTTGTCATTGCACTTCCATCTGAATTGATCTTGACAAATCCATTGTCTGGCTTGTTCCATGTGACTTGAGTTATGGTAATGTGGTGCTGAAGGTTTTTAATGAATGGGTAAAGTTCCCCCCAATTAAAAGGCCATTGGATGTCTGGGTAGTTGGATCTTAGGAGTAGGTTGATGTCCGAATTGACTGAGTAGAGGACCCTAGCAAGGGAAGACTTTTGGGCCCCTTACTTGGCACTGCATCTGTTCTTCCAAAGATTCCAGCAAATGATGATGGGAAGAGTATCTAGGATGAGTTTTTGCACAGTATTAGTAGTTTTCAGTATCCACCATTTTAGAAGAAGCAACCTCAGAGGCATGTTCTTAGTTTGGATGCCTACATAGCCACCATATTTCCTCCATACAATTCTTGCAAAGTTCCCAGAGTTGAAAAGGTGATTCACTGTTTCCAAGGCATGCATGGAGCAACAAACACACCTGGTGACTGTTGGATTGTTAAAGAATTTCACTCTATCATCAGTTGGGAGTTTGTTTCTAATTGCTCTCCACAAGCAGAAAGACCACTTAAATGGAACTTTACTATGTCATATCTTCCTGTTGGTGAAGTTGGGTGGTTTTTTCTTCCTGATAAGGTCTCATGCAGAGGCACATGTAAATTTACCTTTGACAGTAGTAGTCCAGATAGGCAAATCAGGCTTGAAATAAATGGCTGTTTGCATGATTTCTGTGATTTTGTGAGCTGGAACATGGTCACTGAGCTTTAGGAGATCCCGGTAGCCTTCAATCCAGAATTTGGACACTGATATGTTGCCATGTCTGCCCCCTTCTGTTCTGTTGTGTGCCAAAGGCCCAGAACCAAGCCAATTGTCCCACCAAAAACTGCATTTCCCACTGTGAAGTCTCCAATGAATTATTGTTTCTGCTTCTTTCTTATTGAGCATCAGTCTTTTCCATGCTTGAGATTTCCCTGGGTGCCATTTCTTAGATATGGGATTGGATCTTTGACAATATTTTGCCTTCAAGAATTAACTCCAAAGAGAGGTTGTTGTTCTGAAATGCCACCATTGCTTGAGCTCCATGGCTTTACGTGAGTCTTGGATGGTTGTGAAACTACCCCACCTTCACTGGTAGGGTAAGATAGCTTAGCCCATGATGCCCAGTGGTATTTTTGTCCGTCCTTATCCATTCCCCAGAAAAAAATTAGCTGCCAGCTTTTCAATTTGCTTCATGACAGTCTTTGGAGGAGAGACTGCTGAAAGGAGATGGATTGGTAATGATTGAAGAACATACTTGATTAGTGTTACTCTGCCACCATAGGATAGCATCTTGCCTTGCCACCCTTTAATTCTGCCCACCACCTTGGAAATGAGACTATTGAAATTCATAATTCTACTCCTTCCAATATACAGAGGGCAACCCAGGTATGTGAGAGGAGAGTCCCTTCTGTTAAAACCTGTTACTTCTTGAATTCTTCTGATAGCGCTTAGTAGAGCACAGTTAGCAGTCATGAAGTGGCTCTTTTGTCTGTTTATGAGTTGGCCAGTTATTTTTTCATAATTGGTGAGGATCCACATGATTTTCCTTAGGGAGGATCTTCTACCAAAAGTGAAGATGATAATGTCATCTGCAAAGCTTAGGTGGTTGATCTGAGGACCTCTCCTCTTCATATAGAATCCATGAAAAAACTCATTATGGTTCAGAGTGTTGAGCATCCTTGACAAGAGTTCAGCTCCTATGATGAAAAGGGAGGTGCTAAGGGATCACCCTATTTGAGACCTCTAGTAGAGTGGAAGAATCCACACCTAGTGCCATTGACAATGACTGAATACCAGTTGTTAGACAAGGTTCTCCAGATCATGTCAATGATCATTTCACAAAAACCCATTCTCCTGAGCATAAGTCAGGTGAAGCTCCAGGAAACTCTGTCATAGGCCTTGGCCATGTCTAACTTGATAACTACATTTGACCCCACATTTGGCTTCTTGATTCCATGGACAATTTCTTGTGCAAGCATAATGTTCTCTGAGATGTTCCTGCCTTTTACAAACCCAGACTGATTTGCAGAAATTATTCTTGGAAGAATGGGACTGAGCCTTGAGCATATAACCTTGGAAATGATTTTGTTAATAAAGTTACTGAGACTGATTGGCCTAAATTCTGTGAGACTGTTGGGGAATTCCACTTTAGGAAGTAAGACAAGGCAAGCATTGGTCATTTATCTAGGCATTGGGATGCCCTTGAAGAAAGACAAAACAACATTGAGGAGGTCTTCCTTAATCACTTCCCAGCATGCCTCAAAGAATTTCCCATTCATGCCATCAGGGCCTGCTGCACTAGAGGGATTCATGGAAAAGACAACTTCCTTCAGTTCTATCATTGATTGATCTTTGGTAAGATTGTCATTGTCATCATTGGTAATCATGGTTGGGATGATGGAGAGTAAATCTTCCCTGATGATTGAGTCATTGTCAGAGAATAGTTCATGGAAGTACTCACAGGCAACCTTTCCAATGTTCTCATCACCTTGGATCCATTCCCCTTCCTCATTCTTGATTTTGTGGATGTACAGCTTCCTTCTTCTCCCTCTGATTAGGCTATGGAAATACCTTGAATTGGCATCCCCTTCCTTGAACCATTGGAGTTGAGTTTTCTGTTTCAATACATCCTGCTCCACCTTTAAGTGTCTGACATATTGGGCCTTGAGTTCATTGAGATTTTCTCTGTCAATGTCATTGTTTGTATGAGCCCATGTAATCTCTGCATCTTTCACTTTTTGTTCAAATTCTTTGACTTTTTGGAAGATGTTCCCATGTTGTTGTCTAGACCACAGACTTAGAGCATGACTCGGGGATTTCATTTTCTGGTGAAATACCCATATAGCATTACCTCTGACTTCTTTGTTCCAGATTTCAACAACCAGAGGCATAAAAATTTTTTTGTCTACCCAGTAGTTAAGGAATTTGAAGTACTTTTTGCTACTATTTTGTCTTGTATGAAGTTCCAAAAGTAATGGATTATGATCAGATCATGCTGAAGCTAGATGAGAGATTGTGGCAGCAGGAAAGGCTTCCGACCATAGATCATTGGCAAGACCCCTATCCAATCTTTTCCATACAATAGCACATTGCCCCCTTACATTAGACCATGTGACTTTGGACCCATAGAAACCCAGATCCATAAGACCACAGTCCTTCATCATGCTCAAAAAGTCAATGTTTTTGGACAGCTGGTGTGAAATGCCACCAATCTTTTCTTCAACAGAAGCTATGACATTAAAATCTCCAATGACACACCATGGTACACTACATGTGGTTGATTTCTACCTTAAGGTTTCCCACAGAGGTCTTCTAAGGACTGTTTTGCATTTGGCATAAATGACTGTTAGGTGAAACAAGGTGCCATTTTCTACATGCTGCATCTCTAGGGACAATTGTTGCTCATCATGATCCAGGACTTTGGCAGTGAAATCTTTATCCCAAAAAAACCCATATATTATCATTAGCATTAGAAGCAGCTTGGTCCATTGAGAGTTGGAGTTTGAAAAAATTGATATAAAAGTTGTCCAAGAAGGGTTCAAGGACAGCTATAAAGGAGAGTTTGTGAATTTGTTTCAGGAGTTTAAGCCTTTCAATAGCCCCAGGGGTCCTGATGCCTCTTACATTCCAAATGATTGTACTAATCATTGGAAAGAGGGCTCAAGCTTGTGTTTTGGTGGGACACTGCTGCTTCTATTTTTAGCAGCTCTACTTATGGTAAGACTAGGAAAGGTGGTTTTTCTGGCAGACAAAGTGGCATTATCAGCCTTTTTCTATTTTGATTTTCCATTAACTACCTCAATCAACAGTTCACAGTGTTGTTCTTCTTCAGGGAGTTCTTCACTACAAACACTGTCAATTTCCTTATTCCCATCACTTTCATCCTCAGACTCAATTGGTTTGTATTCATCCTGTTGAGGGGGGTATCTGTTGAAAGGGCAGGCAAATGTGAGTTTGTGAGTTTTGGTCTTGAGGTTTTCATCTTTGGTGGGGAAGTCTGAATCATTGCCATCTGAGGGTGGTTCTTTGTCATTTAGAAGTGGTTGGGATAGGGATAGTTTGGCAATGACTGAGTGCCTATAAGCAATAGATGATGCATCAGGGATGTTTTTTTGCCGGGTGATAGGGTTCAAATTCTGGGAGATATCAGGGGGTTCATTTATGCTTATTCCTGCATTTCTGTTCTTCATGGCTTTCCTCTTTTTCTGGCTAGGTTTATTTCTAGTTTTCTGAGTTTGAATTGGGAAATCAGCAGCAGCTTTAGCTTTTTCTTTGAGGAGTGCTTTCATTTGTGCAGATGGATCTTCTTCAGAACACTCAGAAGCTGAGGCCTCCTCAATTGTTACATTATCAAAATTCTGAACTTGTTCTTTACCAGAGTACGAAAGTGTGGTTGCAGGGGTTGATTGGTCAATCCTATGGTCAGTCAAATGTGCAGAAGCACACTCATGCAAAACATGAGGAGACACCACCCCATCTGGAACCCCTTCCTGTCTACCTATGTATTTCTCCTGACAGTTCACCTTTCCTCCTTCAACTTCACCAGAATTAACATGGGGAATATGGGGAATGGGGTGACTCTGAGCAACAGAGTCAACAACATTAGAAATAATAGGGGGGTTTCGGGGGTTCTGGGCACCAGAACCTTCACTCCTCTCCAGATGAGCTAGAGGATTGATAGTAGGCATACCTGAGGGGGAGGGGGTGTCCTGTTGCTGGTTTTCCTTTGGTGTGGGCTGAGGCTGCTGAGTGTTTGGTTGTTTGTGTATGTAGACTTGTTGTTGTCTCTTGGTTTGAGTGTTACCCTTAAAGTTCTTCTTCCTTTGTGTTTGCCATTCCTCGGTTGCTATTTCCTCTGTTGCATTTTGTTGTTCTACTGGTTTTTGGTGCCCTTTTGCCTTTGGTTTTTCATTGTGGTTTGATGCTCCCTTCTTTGGTTTCCCTTGCTGGTTGTTATTTTGCTGTTGCTTGCTTGATTCTGCATGATCTGTGATTTTTTGTTGGTTATTTGGGAGAGTAGTAGTTGCTGCTTCATTTTCTTCTTCTTTTTTCCTATTGGTTTCCAAATCCCTTTGTTTGACAGGGCATGCTTGTGCATTATGGCCAAGATGTCTGCAGTGAGTGCTATATGATGGAAGGCTTTCATATTGGACTTCAAGCCAGTGCCCATCCCCATTCACATCCTGGTCTTCATCATAACCTAGCCAAACACGAGTTGGCCTTTTCTTGGTGAGATCTATTTGTATTTTGACTTTCACAACACTACCTCTGGTCTTCTGGAAGGATGCTAGATCAAGAAAAAGTGCTTTTCCAATGGGAGATAAGAGGAGGGGATAAAATCTCCATGTAATAAAGATGCCATGAGAGTTCTGAGATCATGATCCATACAGGCACAATGGGGGAGTCTTCATTTGGTTTGAAAATTGGATTCCAAGCTTCAATTCTCATCAGCTGACCCTGTATGTACATGTTCTGCTTGCTCCATACAGTGGAGTGATCATACTCGTTGTCCAAATCAATGTAAACAGTTCTTGCATTGAAATGGGCAATTTTCACACCACCTTTGAGTACTGTTTGAACAATGAAGCTCTTCCTGATCACATCCATTCTGGGCATAGTATTTGAGAATTTGCCCACAACTGTAAACTTACATCTGTCAGCAAACTTCACCATGTAGTCTTCCTTCTTAAAAATGACTGTTGGCTTGCCTTATTTGGTGGTAATAATTGGAGGAGAGAACTGGATGGGGGCTATTTCTGCCTCATGTCTGGCTCTCAACCTAGTTACATAGGAGTGGGTGACTATTGGGGGTGGTGGAGGTGGATTAAGGGGTAGTTTTGGTTTGTTTTGGTTGACATTTGGCTGGGGGATGACAGTGGAGATTGGATTGGATTGAGGGGGTGTCATTGGCTTCTCCTGGGGTGGATTTTGGTTCTTTTGGTTTCTCCTTGGAAAATTTGGTTTGTCAAAGTTGGAAAAAATTTTAGGATTGGAGTTGGGGATGGCAGGGTTGTTTTGGACCTATGATTGTTGATTGGTCTGGGCAATGTCACTTAAGGCAGGAACAACAGAGATTGGCAATTGTGAACCTGAAGGTTAAAGAGGTTCTATAGTAGAAACCTTAGCTTTAACATCTGGAGAAGCAACATTGGTCACGAGGCCAATTGTGTTAGCAGCATCAGTTGATGCATTTGGTCGAGCATCTGTGAGATCTAGGTCTGCATTAATGCCATTTTCAGCATTCGACAAGTTGGGCTCGTTTAAAATCTAACTTTAGGATTTGGAAGCATTCTCCTGAATCATAGGGGTTGTTTGGCATTGGTCCTGTGCCGGTTAGATTACCAGAGCTCCATTGCCTGCCAAGTCGTGAGTTTCAGAATTTGCCTTTTGGGAGAATTGATCAGTTCCTATGTTGGATTGGTTAGAAATTTTACTTACCTGCTGCTTTGGATGTGTAGAAATATTTGCAATTGGTTGTTGCAATCCAATTGCCCCAGAAGAGTTAGTAGTATTTTGACCACCATCTGAAGGAGAAGAGTTCAGTAGGGCAATTGGTTGTTGCAATCCAATTGCCCCAGAAGAATTAAGCACATAATTGAATTTATTTTATGTTGGATTGGGCTTAATTAAACTAACTATATTTGTCCTATGTTGGATGCAAAGCTTGTAGAATTGAGGCGGTTGATCGATACCCATATAAAATTGATGGTGCTAAATTATTATCTTCAGCAGTACAATCCTTTTGGTACCCAGTATTATCAGTTTGGCCGGTTGGACCTCCATTTCCGGCCAATACCGTTTCACCAGAATTGTTCGATTGAACTTTGGTATTGATTCCCATGGTAGAATTGGTTAAATTTTGGTGTGGAGGCTCGTTTTGTGATGGAGAAGAATCTCCATGGATTGGATTTCCGTTTTTTGACCCAGAATCACCAAGGGATTTTTTCAAAGTTCCCAGGTGATTTTTTGCTACAGTGACCTCGACGCCCTTTTGAAGGATCGTAGCGACTGGGATGGAGGCTTGAAATGATTCTAGTACGGTTGTATGCATCTTTGAAAGACGCTTCGTTTGCATCTGGTCTGGTGTTTTTCTACCGGTGGAAGACGGAGCTATGGCCATTTGGCCACTGCCCGTGTATTGTAGCTTTTGGTTCAACTTGGAGCGTTATTCTTATTTCTTCTTCCTTGTTTCAATTCTTCTTTTGTCCTCTTTTGTCTTCTTTTAATTTCTTTTATCTTCTTTAAATTTTTTCTTGTCCCCTAATTAAATAATCACAACTTTATTCTTGTATTGTATAAAATACACATAAAATCTCTACTTTGCTCTAATTTTCGTTTTCAACCTATCGATATATAAAATAAATTCAATTAAGCACAAATATAGTATAGTTTTGCATTAAAACACCTAAATATAAAGTAAGTAATGCATTAAAAATATATAATTATAGCCAAACATCAGATACCATATTAAATTTGAAAATATTCATAAATATGTTGTTTTTATATGTCTTTTGATTTCACCCAACACACAGTAAATTGGTATGGGACCTAAGACAGTGGCGAATTCAAAAATTTCATTAAGGGTGTTCATAATTTAATATACATGTATAATTGATTTATATATGCAGAATAATTTTTATATACTCATTATAATATTTCGATGAATTATGTTCAACTGACAATCCTTTATTGTATGTGACTACACCTCTGGCCTGAGATCTAATAATTACAAGTATTTATTGTACCCAATCTCATGCCAATATATAGCAGAGAGATTAAAATACACGTTGCACAAACTTAAAAATAATATAATAAATTCAATAAAGGTTGTCGACTTTATGAATTTTTTCCATATATCCAGCGAGCATTAGACTCTTTTTGGAGGGAAAAT